CGGTACCTTGGAGGTACGGTCCGGAGAAAACAAACAGGACAAACACTTCACTTCAATGGCTTCTAGTTAGACCTTTGTTGTTTTTCAGGACGTCTATCCGTCCGTCCGTCCGCATGTTTAATCTCAATAACCACTACACAATATTCGACAAAATCTGCTTTACGTTCTGTGGTAAATGTTGGGCGAGGTGGAGGGATATATTGTGTGCTGTGTGATTAACTTCGCAGCGCTGTAATACATTAGCTATAAACTATTGCCAAGAAATACTGTGTATCTGAGGCCAAAAGCACTCTTAGAACATTAAGGCCAATGAGTGCAAGCCTGTGTAAAATTTTAGAGAACGCACTTAGAGAATCTATATAGGTGCCAGTCTGCATTCCCGGTTCTCTGTATGTTACTCTTGTCCGTCCACTCTTATTTTTAAAACAGAAAACTTCGTCACGAGACTGAACGTTCTGGCTTACAATGGTCTTGTGTTGTTCCCACAGTTTCCTGGAAAAGTTGAATAGTCAGAATGGGCGGCTTTAAACAGAAGTCTGATTGTCTAAGACTGGAAATACTTTTATGAAGAGTTCCCGGACAACAGGAACAAATGCTTTCATCTTGTAAGACATAGAAGCACACGCTTCCGATTTCATTAATTAACTTTCTGCTTTTATTCGACTTATTCTTTGAATGGTATTGCGCTGAAGTTTTCTTGTGTTAAAGAACGCGACTGTATAGCCAATGAAAGTAAAAATACATATCAAAGCATGTTGTAACAAAATGTAAAGTATGTTTTTAACACGGGTTCTTTTCACTTCTTTAGAAACACCAACAATTCTTAAATAAGAATGCAATTTTAAGCAAAGACGAATTTAGTTCACACGTAGTTAAAAGCACTGAATAAGAATTTATTTATGATATGTAATGTAAGAAGCAATAAATGCCATTAGAAGACTGTATTCTAGGATGTTGGGTCGTGTAATCTAGTAAAAGAAGTTGACCGACTTTTCAGAGGTCAAACTGCCTCGCCCTGATAATGAAGGCAGTAAGAGCCTCTGAAATGTCGGGCAGTTTCTACAAGACTACATGACGCAACATCCCAGACGACACTTACCCACGTACGTGCGGCCGAGAACCTGAAATATCATCAAGAAGTTTTATTTTAGTGCACTTTATTTTATATAATCTCGGGCGAATAACATATGTGTTGTCTCCCTAAACGACTATGGATGAAATTTTACCTTCAAATATCTCTAAGAAGTCCGCATTTTCGAGTGCAAAGCCATCACGTCTGTCGCCATATTTGTCGGCTTTAAGTGATTTATAAACAGTTGACTTGCATAATCATATTTTAGGTAATGAAAACTCGGAAAGTTTACATGTTATGATCCCTTGTCCGATGCAAACAAAGTTTCTTTCCGCGGGATTAAAGCGGCCGGGACATGAAGCAATCTCGTGAGAGTGGGTGGAGCTGTTCCTCCACACTCTCAAACGTCTGCACGGCGTGGTGCTTAGAAAAGCACCAGGGATGCCCATGCTTTAATCTTTTACAGTGTACTGGTATTACGTAGTTCCGCAATCGATACTCTCCCAAATGTTTCTTTCTGGATTCTGAACTTCCGGTGTGGCAGCTCCCAATCCGTGATAAATCAAGAAAATCAGGTTTGCCCAAATTATGACGCCCTACGTTTTGTACTGGAGGCATTAATCGTGCAAGTGTTGCACTTATAATGCCAATGTTGTTCCGTTTAAACACGAAATTTAAAATATATAGATCCGGCAGTACACTGCACAACGCCAATAGATGTAAAGTTAAATATTAATTTTACGTAGGTCGCCATGTTGTCTTACATTCGACAAAAATTACCTCGACTAAAGATACCTTTTTTTCTGGAAGGTCTATTACCACATAGGATTTAAAAACCCTACCTAAATTATCGTTCTCGCCTTAGTTCGTCTTGTTGTAGTGATGGTATAGCTGGTGGCACGAAAAAAAACTAGAAAAATGTGGTGGATCTAGTGGCTCGATCGTAATACCAAGTTTACTGAAAATCCGTCCGTCAGTTGGTTCAAATATTAATAGGGCCGACACGCACAGACATGGATGAATCGTTACAATTTACGACCCATAGCCTGCCTATCCTTAGAAACTAAAAATCCAGACTTAAAATACTAAGATATGAGGAAAAAGGAATAAAAATGAAGAAAAAGCGACGAGTTCTTGAATAAAGAATACCAGAAGTGACAAAAGGTACCACACCTCAATGGCAATGGCTGGTAAAAGATTCGAGCCTATGACCGTCTGAGTACAGCTTTGTAAATCGTTAGGGTAAGCAGAGCATAACAGACTGTATAATTTAAATTCAACTACTGCCCTTACCATCACAGCCATCCGAAGCCCGTCGGAAGAAAAAGAAGTTCTGGGGAAGGGATATTCTCTTTGAACAGTTTCGATTGATTGGTCGAGAACAATCGACATCACTAGGTTTCCAAAGTTTCGTTTGCGCACGTTACTTCTCTGCAAAGCACGTAATAAAATTAAGCAGGCTTATTGGTTGTCACTTTTCCCCGAAATCCACACAGCCTTGTTATTATGTAACATAAAGGAGACATAGACTGTCTGACAGACAGGCAGACAAGGAGGCGGTCTGATGCCGACTTTAATTAGCCAGTCTTCATCAGGACTGGTGGAGCTCAGAGTTTCGTCACAGCCAGGCCACACACACGCCTTGTGTCAACGACGAACCATCTAAAATAAGGCCAGACCTATTGGCACTGATACACATTCCTATTGAAGAGCCGGGTAGCTATCCGTCCACACTTCCGCACGATTGTCACAATGATTGATTCATGACTGAACAGCTTATCACAGCAGTAGCATGTCTGGCTTGTATTCTGCAAGTACTCGGTACGACTACCACCTAGGACACATACTATCTTAGTTAGGAATTTCCATGAGGTGTGCAGTTTTGACTGCGGGGAAAATGCCCCCCGAAAACGCTTACATCCACCTAAGAGACTACACGGCTTCACAAACCATGGATTTTGATTATTTGCTTACTTTTACCAGGCCAGCATTGAGATTGTTTTGAAACAAGTATTTTCCCATCCAAAGTACAAACCCATAACATCATTTATGAGATTAGACGTTCTCTGGCGGTGAAGATGCCTGGAAGGACTGAGAAGAAGCACGAGAAATTTCAATTAGAGAGTTTCAAATCTCGTAGCTCCTGAATTTTCTAGAGAGCTACCGCCCGAAGAATCTGTTCACTTTCCTAAGGCAATTGACGAAAACCATTAAAATCTCTATATTGTAGCACTATATTAAGGTCCTGGAATTTTCAAGATGCTTACCACAGGCTTTGTCAAAAAAAAAAACTCGTTCGTGGTTCTGCCACACGTAAAGTACGAAGCGATTTTTGGAATGCTTCTGAAGAAACCGCGTAGCGTCACAAGTAGGTTGCCCGGTTACACACGTGTTCCCTCGATTAACTTCACATTGCTACAGTCACCGTTCCTTCTGTGACAACAGAATCGCCATTAGTGACAACTTTCATTACAAAATCACATTAATTTAATGTTCCACTTTTCAATGCTTTGTATTTCCACCTTCCTATGGTTTCTTGTCTTGCATTCTTCTTCCAATTATTATTCACAGACAGTCATAAGAAGCGTTTGTTTGTTGCCACTGACATTATCGAAAGTTTTCGAAACATGAATAAAACCAAGAACAGGCGCGCCTCTCTCTCTCACTCAC